GCACGGGGTGCAACGCTTAAATAGGGGGAACTGCCATTTTTGCTGCAGCTGATCGATTCACAAAATATTATATACATACACGATAAGAGTACCTAGAGCATTCGGTGTGTAATAAAAATAAGCAATCTATATGGGGAGTTACTTCGCTTCGATAAAATCAAATAAAATTTTTATTGCCTCTTCTTTCCTACATAATCCATCCGATGTGCATTTCTATAAAAAGTTTGTTTATTCCTCCAAAGATGACTTCGTTACAATCTTTCAGTATCCCATTCGGTTTTCTGGAGGCGGGCGAATTTATATTTACATACGAGATGCGGAATAGCGAGCGTACGAGCCAGGAGAGCGAAAAAAAAACGAAAAAATCGTCTGGCGGTAATGAAACACTTTTTTACTTGCCTATTTTCCATTTCATTCAAATAGAGAACAATGGCATAAAATTTCATTCCGATAAGCACCTAACTTTCCGGAATTAAATGCGGACGAGAACTTCTAATGGACAGACTTTCAAGATTGATTTTATCCACAAACTTGATAATATAGTCTGTGGGGTGTGTTAATTTTGAATAGCCTTACATTTAAATGAGAGTCCCCTCCTAGTTAAATCAGCTCGCAACTTAATTAAGCTACCCACCTAATGAAAAACAGTAAAAGTGTACTGTGTGCTCCAATTAAGCGATTGAGCTTTTAGTCGGCTCTCGAAAGACTGTTTTCTTCATTTTTACGTCGAGCTTTCGACTGATATAGTTTTGATTTTGCTTCACATATAAAAACACGCAATTCAGCGGAAACTTTGCGTATGGTAATTATGCCGTTCACTAAACCCCCCAATTTATTTTACGTTTTCCTCATTTTTTCCCTTAACGGAAATTCAATCGTTTTTCATAATCACGTCGTAAAAAATCTTTGGTGGTGGTTTTTTCTTATTAATATAGATTCGTATCGTGCCGAAAACGATAAGTACAAAATTGGTTTTTTAAACGAAACTTTTGTTTGATCAAATATTAATATCTAATGGAGGACGATGATTATTTCAGCGAAGCGGCACATTTCAATACAGTGAATAAATTTACGTTCTGTTATTCTTTGGTTCTGTGTACTAATATGGTCCGTTTAACATGAGGGCGTAAACAATTTGCTTATTAATCATGGTGACAACTGAGAAATGTTGGGTGAAATATGTTTAAAGGGAGTCACTGTCGATGGCATTGAGGATCAGAATGTTTCATGCGCGGAGTTTACTGTAAACCTTATTGCCTTCATGCGTGCATCATCCACGTGTCCGTTAAACACGCACGTGCAACTACGATTATGGGAACAAACGTGTGTGTAACGTTTTGGGATTTACTGTAAGGTTGTAGTGAACGAACACCGAGGGACTAATGTGACAAGTAATTTCCTGCATGCCATATCTTTAAACCTTGCAACAAATTGTAGTAGGTACATAAAAGTGGCTCGTTTACTCTTTTTCCATACGAAAGCGATAAGTTAATGGGCACTTAAATCGTTTAATATATGCAATTTTTTATGATATTAGTTATAAGGAATGATTTTGTTCAAACATCACTTCCTCTTACTAATCTTTGAATCTCACACGAATCGTTACGAGATCAATCTACAGGAAATCTCTCCCAGTGTTCTACCTTTATTGCAAACTTAGATAGAGAGGTGCGGCCAGTAAAGTGACAAGCGACAGGTAATGCGGTCTGTTCTGCCTCTGTCATGGAAACTAAAATTTTCTAGGTGCCAGGGGACACTTGAAGTACTTTTTCTACTCTAATATCCAACAAACTAAATATGACATAACTCACACAACAAATTTTTTCTATTTCGGTGTCACAATGATGATTTTGTACAACTGTTGTTGTCCAAAGACAGTGATTATAGTCGTTTTTTTGGTAACTCATCTCTTAAGTTGGCAGTTACTAGTTAGTACAAGTAGGTACTTCCTTGGGTACTTCCATGTTTCAACTTCAAAGTGTCAGTCTTACTACGCTGCCAACCTAAAACTTAACGGCATAAAAAGTGTTCCCAACATAAAACATGTTAGTTCTAATGTTCCCTATAGTTTCTGATAATCATTTTTTAAATTAAATTAAAGCACCGAAATAGAAAAAATAGTATGAAAAACGCGTGTTACAATGCTTTATTGTAATATTCCTATCTTGCGGACACTCGTGGCGTCGCCACTCGTGCCACAAGATAGTCGTATTACAATAGGTCGCATTGTAACACTTGTCTTTCAATATACTATTGTAAAACTCCCACTTACTTTTGTGGTACTGCTAAGAAGCACAGTTGTAGAGATTTGTTGCAGCCTTTTTAGTGGTAGGAATTTTGGAAACTACGAAATCTGAAAACTTCGAAACTTATCTAAAGTTTGTTTCTGAATCGTCTTATAGTTGCTCATAAAAAAATGTGGAACTGTAGGGCTCTACTCGTCAAAATTTTGATTTTAGAAAATCATTTGTTCCTGTTGATCTGCGATATCCTTTATTCGACAGATTTTTAGATGCGAGTTTTTAATAATCGTTTTTTTTTGCTTGCTTGTTGTAGTTATTCCACCGAAGACCCAACTACCTTTCAGCCCTACAGATAAAAAATGAAAAGAACATAACATGTCAGACTGGTATTATGCAGTCTCCTATATGTTGTTTAATTTAACGTAGCTACACGTATATACAAGAATTAATAATTAATCCACACATACACCCTTGTATACCCATTTCTCTAATTATAATAGCACATTGTGCTTGTGCATCTCTCAGTAATCAAATTATTGTCGCCTAAAAGCAACTCCATTGAATAATCACTTCGTTACATTCGCAAAACTAAAAAAAATTGGGGAGTAATTTCGCAACTGAACATCTGTTAAACTCGAACGTCGCGCACGAATTTGCCGAAAATAGTCTAATTGAGGTTACAGCTATAAAGAAAAAAACTTTAATTAAACGTCAAATGGGATTAATGATAAAGTGACTTAGTGACACTTGTGTGGTATATAAAAAACTTGCCTATTTAGTAATGCGTACAATCTGATTGGGTTAATGTCAGGGTTATGATCATTAGTTCAGACAAACTGTACGAGTTTGGAAGGATTAATTTCCATTAAGCTCAATTAAGGTTAATCAGTAAACATGCATTCTCAATTTTCTTCCTATTTGTCTTCGTATAGGACGGTGGCTACACACATTACCCACATTTAATATGTACGTGCACGCATGAATGGCGACACGATTAAAGTAATCTCTTTGAAGCTACTTTTTGTGAATGGGCATTTTCTCATTTATGAAATAAACCTGCTCCAAATACGGTTAGCGTCTTTGTAATTGTATTATAGCGACAAGTCCGTACCTGTTCGACCTCAGCATCCTGCTGTCCGAACGAGAACAATTAACCTAATTCGCCTGTGTCCCAAATTGATTCGCACCTTTTATTAAAGGGTACCTTCCTCATTAACCCAAATACAAATAATGTAAGGGAAGCTTAGTTGCTACGTATTCTACACACTGCCCTGTGTGACACATGGTCTGTATTCATTTGTAAAATTAATTGGTTTGAGTTTTTGTAGGAATGTTAATTTTAGAAGTAGCTTTCAAATTAGACAACGTCGTACTAAAGTTGAGTTCTTCATGTTTCATTATAATTTTCGAAAACGGCATTATTTTATGCGCAAGAGATTGCCAGGGTTGTAACTTTCCTGGTGAATCAAATGTTTTTGTCTCGGTTTTTGTCTTGTTTGATTTTGTTTGCAGAACTGTCCCTCTTTCGTCCCAGAATTTAGTTTTCGTACCTTCTTGAAGTTTGCGTTTTTATTTTATGTTGGCATTGAAATTTCTATATTTTTCTTTACGTCAACAATTGTGCCTAAATATGGTTTGGGTAATCAGCTCGTCCGTTGTTTCTATAACATCGAAAGTGAATATGGTTTATTCGGGAGCATTTATCCATTTACTATTCCTTGTAATAAACTTTTGCGCTTCAAGCTAAGGGAAAATATTACTGTGGCACATGTGCGGTATATAAGGTCTTGTAATACTTAGGGTACGTGAAGTATGCGGAAAACACCACTTTCGCTCTTTTTAATAAAAATTCTTCATGAATACTTGCTTTAATCTTATTTTTCAAGCAAATTGTCTGCATTACACACATATTCATCAACAACGCGTATGTCCACGTATCTCCATCATCCTCTCGGAAAACTGGGCGAGAAAGATTGTGCTATAGACTGTTCATGCTTAGTTTACTCAAAAATTATAATGTTTGCGCTTTGTTCTGACATTGAAAGATTTCTTTAAACAACAATCTGAATATAAATGCGTAGCTGTAAATCATCATTTTTTACGACCTTCTTCTACAGCATAAAATTATTTTTACGTGATGTGAAAATTGAAGCGAAATCTACCGCCACGTGCGTGAGTAATCCGATTTCCTATTGTCCGGTACTGGCATAGCGAAATTAATTAGCGTTACTTATATCTTTGGAAAGGTACAGCATCAAGTAATTAAAATAACTAATTAGATTAAACGTGCACTCCGGGGTTGATCAAAATTTAATTTACTTAACGCAAGTTAATAATTAACAAGTTTCCTCTCGTCATCGAGGGTGAAAATTTGGTACAGAGCAATTGATATTGGCGTTTTGATTGTGGCATTTGGATCCAAAACGTCCCCACTTGGCAAACTCGTAATGATTTTTACAAACTAAAAATGTACCTAACGAAACCTTTTTTAAACCTATTGATCTTTTACGCTTTTGCAGCCCCTAAACGTAAATTATTTTCTTTGTAAATGAACGGCATATTTTGTAAGGGTTAAAAGCTAAAATAGTTCGACTTCAAAGCTGAACGTTAAAAATCTTTGGGGGAGGCGAGTTAGTGGAGGTATAAACTTCAACATGTGCATGTAGGTTTAATTTACGAGTGTACAGTAATTATCCCAACCCTCCTTTGAGAAGCTAAGAATATGGTCATATTACTAATGCATACTTTTTGTTTTAGGTGAGTATTGGAAGACGATCGTGCCATTTTAATTGAAAGGATAGCGACGCATTTGCAAGCTGTTGGTTTCCGCTTTGAGTTCGGCATCAATAATTCACAAAAATCCATAGAAACTTCGATAAGAAATCCATAAATAGGGGTATTAATGGCGAACGTTTGGATATAAATCGCCGGTATTGTACCATTTAAGTTATTTATAGTTTTAGTACACACCCATCGTGCTTTTCAAACAAACCCACATTATCCCACTAATACAGAACCGATATCAGAGGGAATAAATAAATCCAGTTTTCAAATGCATTTAATAAATCAAACATTTTCAACTCGCGAAAACCGCCGGGGTGAATCGCAACTACTACCCACTTTCGTTTTTAGCGCAAAAATAGAGCGAGCGAGATGTAGGCCCGATTGGCAGTTCATGGCCGAAGTAATTATTCTGGCCAGTGCACGAGGGCTGAAAGTAAAGCTGTAGAACTACGCAGTATGTAGGGGTGCAATTTCACAACCCCAACTTACCGGGAGGGGTGTGTGTGTATAGTTAGTGTTGTTGGGTGCAGATGGTTATCGGTTTTCGTGCGTTGCAACACGACCTAGGGAAATGGCTCCATATTTTACTGCTAATCTCAGAACCTGACTGTTAAGTATTGCCGTGTGTAAACAGCTTTATATACGATATTGAAATATTTCGTTATTGACGGGAAATGGGGTAAATTACTAGCTCTTTTAGGGGTGAAAATGAACTTCTCTTTTGTTTCTATACGTCGGGTAATATGCCGCATTTTTTACGAGTTCATTATTACCTACTTTAAGCTGTTGTTAAATTAATTTTTTTGAAAGCGTAAGTTTATTACCTCTTCATCCCTTCCTGTACTTGTCACGCGATCTAAACGTATCCCACTTTTAATTTTTTATTTGAATAGAAAGTTGTATACTATGAAATCAATGCGATAGACGTAGAGACGTAGAGGATAATGGCGACAAAACGCCTTGTCGAACTATTCCGAATTCCTTTGTTTTAATTAGCACCCTTATGACACTATTATGACCAAATCGTATTAATTGACCACATCGTGTCCACATGTCCGTGCAGGTGCAAGTATCTTTTCAAATACCGTTGTTTTTGGTTTCTTGTTTCATAAATATTGGTCAAAAAAACCTCGAATTCGAAGAAGAATCCAAAAGAACGAAGACTGGGCAATAGGGGTTTTAGGAGCGGTAGCTGTTGATGCTCATGATGGTTTCAGGAGTCATGCTAGTGATGCGAAAAGGAGTCTTCAGTTATTAATTCTTTATTTTTGTACTCTTTTGCAATTCTTTACACCCTTGAGATTCCTGGGACTTCTTATATCCTTTAAATTACCCTTAAGTTCCTTTTAAATTCTTAGGGCCAAATACCTTGTATCCTTGAGATTGTTAACTACTTTGATATTTCTTAACCATAAGTTCCATTTCGGTTTCTTTGAACTTCTTCAGATTCTTTCCATTCTTCAGTTTTAGCCAATTCGATACTTCCTACAGATCCTTCTGGAAATTCCACAATGCATTAAAAGTATGAAAATCTTCAAATTTTTCAGATTCTTCGATTCTTCAGATTTCCCAAGATTCTTCAAATTCTTCAAATTGTTCCGATTCTCGAGATCCTTCAGATTTTCCAGAATGTTTAGATTCTTCAGATTCTTCCATTCTTCAGCATCGTCAAATTTTTGACTTTCTTCAAATTCTTCAGATGTTTGAGATTCTTCCGAATCTTTGGATACTTCCGATTCTTTGTATTCTTCAAATATTTTGGATTCGTTAGATTCTTGGGATTCTTCAGATTCTTTAGATCCTTCACACTATCCAGATTCGTTGTTATTTTTTCGAACGAAGCCACTTTCCATGTGCAGGTAGGATTTTATGTGATTTCTTATTAGCAAAGATTTAAAGAACTGTGCAAAATCATACCCCTCGTCAATTATTGTCTGATGTGGCATTATTGGGGATAGAGTTATTGGTCCGCATTTTTTTGAAGCAGATTTAAATACAAAATTACACATATTTTTATGAAATCAATTGGGCCAATTATTGAGCGAAGACATAATACTCGACATGTGGTTTCAGCAGGATGCGGCTCCACCTCATTATGCAGTACAGTACAACCCCGTAATTATTTACATGAAATGTTTTCGTTCTCGAAGAACAGACGGACAAAACCATTATATAAGCGGAATTTTTTTCATTCGGAAAATTACCCTTAAAATCTTTTTGGAGATATCACATTGTAACACTATAAAAAAACAGAATTGGAAAATGTGAAACCATTCGCAAGTTACCATGCACACGGACGGACAGAAAGTCCAAAATCATAAACGTTCGTTAAAAAAGGATACATTTACGTTCTGTCGGCTCAGCTGAAACTTCACCACCTTCCTTTTCTCGCCTGAGGAAAACAAAACATGCGCATCCTTACTCCTTACGCAATTTAAATTGCTGCACTTTCCTCGAAAATATTTCCAGTGGCGTAGCATGAGTTTTTCTCCTTTAATGAAGAGCATAAAAGCGCGCGGGAACCATACAATCACAATCTTATCTAAATTGAATAAATTACAAAAGGGATAAAATTTAAACAAGAATTACGCATGAACAAAATACAAATTCAAATACACAACAATACCGTTGTCTATATTTACAGCACGACTTTTTAGGGCGAATCATCACAGTGTAATGCCATCCAAAAGTCTTGCCTAGATTGAGGGTGGTTTATTGGATTAATTGTAGGTTTGAATTAAATGGCACATTTTAAATTTTTGATTAATAGGATCGGTGATGCTTTTAGGTGAGAGATGATTCTAAAAAAGAAAAAAAACATAGCTCATTTAGCTATGACCTTTTGGAAAGTACTGCTCAATGCATGGAAAATGCGCTAAGTGAATCTTGCTTGATATTCTGGTAATTTTTTTTAGATCATGTACAAATAACAAATTATCTCTAAGTCAGATAATAAATACCAAAAGGAGAAATTGACCCAATTAGGTAACTTTTAAGAAGTGGAAAAGTTGACCATGAATTAATAAAAAATTAGGTTCAAAAGTAAAAACAACAGAGCTTGGAATAAACCACTTCGGTTAAACAGTCTTTCAATACGCCAAAAGTCCCTTGGCAGATAACGGTTAATGAATGATACAACGTAAAACGTAATGAGTACATGTACTATTGAATTACGATACATTGAATTCTTAACGTTTACTTCGATTCTGCTATCGCCGTTACATAAACCCGGTTACAGATAAAAATAGATGTCTAAAAGTGGGCACATTATTCGTTCTGAAAGGGGGCGCCTTTGGATTTAATGGATCCACGTTATCTTACGACACACTTCGCCGTTTCTCCGACTTGACGATTTCAATTAAATTCGTTGGACCAAACAACGGCCGAATAAATGTGTCTGCTGCAAATCTGCATTGTAATTGCACGTACCAAGATTCGGGCGGACGAACCATTGTTAACCTAAATTTATGATTTACTTGTAGTTCTTATGCACGAATAAACTTTGTTCGAGTTTAATTTAGATTGCCGCTGCAAGAGCATTATTTCGTTGTTTCGCTTGTATTGTGTCGGCAAACAGTCTTGGATGAACTATATATATTATTACGGGTACACTCACAAAATGGGGTGTACTCTTAATACTCGAGTCTTCGTCCAAATTAAATTTCAACGAGCGCGGTTTCTTACTCTTTCAGAAATTGAATGTCGCACAATGCACCATTAAATTAAAGGAAAGTACTTGCGGATTTGGAAATCGGGATGCAGTTTTAACGTAAACATTCACTTTATGTAAATTGTAAAGTAGTCTAAATGAATCGGGTAAATTTATGGTTCGCTCAATGGAGTAAAATTTATGTGGAATTGTTGAGATAGACCATCTCCTATTGATAATTAATTGCAGGATTCGTTACACTTAATTTATTTAAATGGATTGTTTCGTAATGGTATATTCCCTAAATGACCTTTGTGTTTGGTTTTAATAGATGGAGATTTATTAGCGCTGCCAACAATGGATTTCTGCTTCGAACCTTGACGACCTTACACCCCAATGTAATTAAAATGATGGTCATAATCCACGTTTCAATTTCGATTCGATTTTCTAATCATTGAAGAGAAGAAGCGGCACCAACCTGTTGTAATATGATATAGAATTGTTCCTCTAGAACAAGTCACGATTGCGGTAAATTACTCTTTAAGGGCATGGTTACATTGTTGATTAAATGTTTATTATACCTACGAGAAGTTAACTGTAAATTCAAGCCTAAAAACTTGAAACCCAAAAATTGACCCAAACCTTATTTATGTAGGTACGATAGCGCCCCACTTTTAACATGTACAAGGGATGATTCAGGTCATCGCCTGAACGAAAAGTAGCTGGTTCTTATCAAGATTGAAGAATCATCAACGGCTAATTGCTAATCAACGTACTAAAAGTGTCAGGAGATCGCCTGTCTAGATTACGTCGATCACTGCTGCCAGTAAAAAATTCAATACCACCATCGTTTAAAATTATGCAATCGATTGTGCGTATACCAATTTCCGAATAGGTGTAAGTAAATTAAGTAAAACATTAACAATAAAACGTCCGATTAATGTACAGATAAATTTTAATGAGCGCCGCCTCTCTAGATTGAGGTAATTAACCGGATGAAACAGAGAGGATTTTTGGTCGGACGATTAAGGTTGTTCAACCAGTAAAAAAATTAGTAGGATACCACCGGAAACGTACTTAACTTTAATTTATCTTATAATCCCGCATTTATTACTTAGGCGACATTGAAAGTGAATGTAAACGGGTACTAAAAAGAAGCGAATGCAGACGCGTTTACTTAACGCACAATATTAATTTGAGAAGCTGGAGAGGTTGTGCCGCCGTTAATGTCTTTTTTTCTAGTGTGGTTATTACCATCGGAATGTTACCAATCTATTAATTAAATGTCATTGAATATAATTATCATACGTGAGAATATAAGACGGCGTCTTGATTACCTGCCCTTTTTTAATTGTCTTCGGTGTTCATTCAACTGAAACCGGTCCGAGGAAAATTTAAGTGTGGCATTATTTAAACAATATGGAGTTTAGTTTTCGTAGATGCCCCGATTTGAGTAACAGGGAAAAGATGATTAATTAATAGCAAGTCAAAATATGG